TGCTAACACATATATATGGAATTTAAGAAAAAAAAAAATGTTATGAAGAACCTAGGGGTAAAACAGGAATAAAGACACAGACCTACTGGAGAGCAGACTTGAGGATATGGGGAGGGGGAAGGGTGAGGTGTGTTAGGGCGAGAGAGAGACATGGACATATATATACTAACAAACGTAAGGTAGATAGCCAGTGGGAAGCAGCCGCATGGCACAGGGAAACTGGCTTGGTTCTTTGTGGCTGTCTGGAGGAGTAGGATAGGGAGGGTGGGAGAGAGGGAGACAAAGAGGGAAGAGATATGGGAACATATGTATATGTATAACTGATTCACTCTGTTATAAACAGAAACTAACACACCATTGTAAAGCAATTATACCCCAATAAAGATGTTAAAAAAAATAAAATAAAATAAAAAAATAAAAAGGTGAGACCAAGGAGGTGAGAAAGAGCTAGCCCAGAAGAGAACAGTGGCCTTGCAAACACTCAGAAAGGAGCACAAGCGAGGGAGGGACTGAGGTGGGGGCCGGAGGAAGGGCTTGAATCTCAGAGCAGCTGGAAAGAGGGACCAGGGGGTGACCCTCGGGGGTAAATTCAAAGGAGAAGAAAAGAAACCAAATGGACAGCCTGCCTTCCCTCTTCAGTCTCTGCCCTGGCTACGCTAGCTGGGCCCATCAATTGGTGGTCTCAAGTGAGGGACCAGGGGAAAGCCCCTAACTCTAATGAGTCTGATTCTAAAATTTTGGAATCCCTGGCCCATCCTTCAGTTACACAGGGGAGCCATTTCCTGGCAAGAGCCGGCACAGGGGCCTCTCTGACCGGCAGCTCCTCTTCGTTCTTGCAGTATGAAGCCCTTGCTGCTGAGCCCTGGACCCAGATTCCGCCAATGAGCACCTGGGTTCTGGCTGGAGATTTGTGCCTAACTGGAGTGTGGGCCTGGTAAGCCCCTGACGTATCTCCTTGGAAAAGTCAGGATAGGGTTTTGGCTTTGAGGTTCTAGGAGCTTTGTGGTCTCAAACTGCAAAGTCAGCAACTCCTAGCATCAAAGGACACATGCGTGGGGATACCTCAGCCCCTTTTGGGGGAGGACAGTTAATTTTTTTTTATCCATATTTATAAGGTCAATATAAATCACTGTCCATGTTTACCAAGAGTTTTGTAAACCTTTCACAGGGTTATTTTGGGTTTTTTGTGGAGTTTTTTGGCAACGAGTCATGTGGGATCTTAGCTCTCCGACCAGGGATCTAACCTGCACCCCCTGCATTGGAAGGTAAAGTCTTTTAAACACTGGACCACGAGGGAAGTCTCACTGTGTTTTACTTGTATCACACTACCTAGTTTTTAAAGACCATCACTATCTGGTCGTGCAGACGCTCTGAAATCACACAGAAGCCTAGGCTATTACAGTCTGCAAATACTAGGAAGTTTAGAAACTCTCTCAAGTCACATAGCTAGAAAGTGAATACAGCCCAGGCCTCCTCTGCCCCAGCACAGCCAGCTTGGCGGCAGGGGCGGGGGGCACCCTCAGGCCTCCAGTCTCCTAATTCCATTCATGGAATGCTTCTTCAATGCTAACTATACCCTCAGCACAGTGTTACAAGTTGTGGAAGATGCTTGCCCTCAGGGAAGGTGGGATCCATTTGGTCAAAGGGGCCACAAAACAATGTAACAACCTCTAGCACCACAGCCTAGAGTACAATTGGAGAGTCCTACCAGATGAAGAAAATGAAATTCTTCTCTTGACTGTTTGACCTCTGCTGAAACCAGTTGGGACAAATTGGGACAAAGAGCAGATATAAGATCAAAAATAGAGTCCAGTAGGAGAGGGATGGTAGAAAGACAAAGACCGGGTCCCAGTCCTGTTGGGGGATTGATGGAAATAACAGTAGCTGTTACTGTTTCCTTTCAAATAACCCGGCTTTGTCCAAATTCAGCTTTCAGTTCACCAGTAGGTATTTCCCTTTGGCGGTGAGGAGGTGGGGGGTGGGCAACAGGCAAACCTTGATTCCAGATTTGGGGCTCTCCTTAGTTTTAAAATGAGGAGGCAGGTAGGCAGGCTTTGTACGCTGCAAAGTTTCTAAGTGCGCCTCACGGTTAGTAAAGAACTAAAAATAAAAATCCTTTGACTTCCTTTTCCTTTACCAGTGTTTTTGTTGCAGAAACCCAGCTGGACCAGATACTGTCACTTCATGTTGGTGGCATTTTTTAAAATTAGTCAGTGGTTAGGCTATTAAATGTTCAACTGCTAATGACAATGATCTTCCTTTCATTTATTTCACCATAGCAACATTTCCCCCTCTCTTAATGTCTTTGTTTAAACAATAAGCATTTCAACAAGAGTAAATAAAATATTTTAAAAAGAGATATCACCATAAGCTAACCCACCCACTGTTTTCATTTTTCCCTGCTTCTGATGTCCATGCATATGTGTTTTTACCTAATTACACTCATACTCTCGATACGTCACGTGATCTTTTTCCTTTAGATTATGCTGTAAACATTTCCCGTTTCCATAGACCTCGTGATTATTATTTAATAGCTGCATAACATTCCACAGGATGGACGTTCCATCATTTGAGTTAACCATTTCCCTGTTCTTGGCCACTGAGATTGATGCCAACTTCTATTACTCAGTGTATTGATTTAGATGCAATTTTTACAGAGACATAAAAAATGTCTTTGAGGTGCTTGTCTTTTGGAAGAGGAAACAAACAGCTCCAGCTCATTGTGTGTCTACCAGGTACAAAGATGGAGCCCAGGGCTTCCCTGGTGGCGCAGTGGTTGAGAGTCCGCCTGCCGATGCAGGGGACGCGGGTTCGTGCCCCGGTCCGGCAAGAACCCACATGCCGCGGAGTGGCTGGGCCCGTGAGCCATGGCCGCTGAGCCTGCGCGTCCGGAGCCTGTGCTCCGCAACGGGAGAGGCCACAGCAGTGAGAGGCCCGCGGACCGCAAAAAAAAAAAAAAAAAAAAAAAAAAAAAAGATGGAGCCCAGACTCTAAAAGGCCAGTCAGTGGGTGAGTGGTTGCCAGATAATTATTCTATCTATGACAGAAACACCACCGATAGTTTGTAACTATGATAACAATGACATTCACTTTCATGATTAACCACCAAAAAATCAGAAATACTACGACATGGTGCCAATCCTAGCTTCCTCTTTTCTGTTCCTTTATGCCAGAGCCACATAAAACGGGACCACATTGTTAATGCCATTCTGCATTAGACTACAAATTAGCACCCCTTCATTGGGCCTGTGAGCGTCAGAGTTGGACGCCAAGGGGAATGCGCTGTTCTCTCAGAAGAAGGCAGAAGGTCTCTTGTTGCCTTTAGGCTGGCAGGTGGGGGAATGGTGGTGGTACATACAGTAGGTGAGGGGGTGGTATATATTAGCAGTGGGAGGGTGGTACATATGGGGGGTAGATATAGCAGGTGAACGGGTGGGCTGTGTACCGAGGGTCAGGCTGGCCCTTACCGTGTTCTCCTGCGACAGGAATGAAGTGAGTCCATGAAGAAGCGGGAGAGGAAGAGAGGGTCGGTCGGGGGCTTGGAGGTGGAGGGAGGTGCCACAGGCGCTGGGTGGAGAAGGGAGGCAAAGAAGCCGAGGGAGGGGCGGGGCTTA